ACCGGCCGTGCCTGTTGGGGTATTTTGCGCACCCGTTCCGAGGTGCGTGTCGCCCGACCGCAGCGAGATGGCTCCGCCAGTACCACTGCTGCCCGTGCCCACACTGAGGAGTATGGACCCGCCGTTTCCACAGGTGCTGCCGCCAGTGCTGATTGCTATATTTCCGACTGTTCCTGCTGTCGCGGCTCCTGTCGTTAGAGTGATGAATCCAGATTTGCCAATGGCCCCTGCGTCCGGTGTTGCAATGGCAGCGCCCCCGCTGGAACCGTAGTTGGTAGATCCTGTCATCATAAGTATTGGCCCTCCTGCAGCGTGTTGATCTAGAGTCGCACCAGCTTTTAGTATAATACTGGCGCCATCTCCTGTATCTCCAGTACCAGCGAGTAGCTGGATGGATCCTCCGCTTCCTTGGGTTGCATCGCCAGTCTGGATATTTGCATCGCCGCTGTTGCCACCAAGACTTTTTCCAGTCGCAACAAATACTCCACCAGAACGACCGGCAGCTCCTGAAACCTCGGTAGCTACGACAACATTCCCAGAACTGGAAATTGTGCTTCCACCAGATTTGAGCGAAACTTGACCACCAGTCTGAGAACCAAGGCCGCCAGTTGCAGCAAAGGAACCACCAACGTCAGAGCTATTTCCTGCTGATACAAGCAAGTCTCCCCCACGCACAGGGCCAGCACTTCCAACCGACAGCTCGATGTTTCCACCTCTCTTCATCTGAGAACTGCCAGTAGTTACGGAAAGTTTACCAGAGTCAGCAGTACTTGAATATCCTGTAGTGATATTCACTGCTCCAGACTGCCCCATGATTCCAGCAGCTGGAGTCTCGATTTGGACCGAGCCACTAGACGTCAACGTTCCCGCCCCGGCGCGCAAGAAAATCGACCCTCCAGTTCCACTGTAACTGTTTCCGCTGGTAGCATTGATCATTCCTCCAGCTCCACGTGTCCCAGCTCCGACAACCATAGAAATCGATCCCCCAGCTTGCCCAGCGGAAGTACCCGTGACCAGACTTATTGATCCACTTACTCCGGTAGCTGCTGCGCCTGTATATACAGCAATAGAGCCTGAACCACCTGTGTCGCTGGAATCGGGAGAGTTCAACGTAAGGTCACCGCTACTCTGGGGACCAACACCTGATGCAATGCTGGCTGTCCCGCCAATGGCCTGGGAGCTATCTCCAGCCACAACACTAGCGTCACCACCTCGGAGTCGATTTGGACCTGCCTGTAGAGTAGCGTTTCCACCATAAGCGGCATTGCTGGTACCAACGGCAACTACAACGTTGCCAGCTTGCGAGCTGGTCGATGATCCAGTAGAAATACTTAGGTTTCCGCTGGTCAAATCTGCAGCCCCAGTACTGAAGTTCATAGCACCAGAGGCACTCACTTTGCCAGTAGAAAACGTCGAGATATTGACATCGCCTGTTGTACCTCGATCAGCGTATCCTGAACGAATAACAACTGATCCACCATTACTCGTGCCGTTTCCACTCAGAACACTAACCGAGCCACCCGCACGAGTTTTTGAAATACCGACGCTAATCATTATACTTCCGCTTTGACCACTAGAGGAACTTCCAGATAAAACATTCACGTCGCCCGAAGTTCCTGTGCCGGCCAAACCACTCGAAATTGTCACGGTTCCAGTTGTTGCGGTAGATTTCCCCGATTGAATCGCCACAGACCCTGACGTGGCTGTTCCTGAGCCTGATGACACATACACTGCTCCACCCGTAGACCCATTGCCAGCTGAAACAACCACAGGCGATCCTGATAATCGCCCAGACGACCCACCAAAAACACCAACACCTCCAGGGCTTCCTGTGGAGCTCCCACCTGATTTTAACACCAGATCACCTGTAACGCCATCGCCAGAGTCACCAGTTCCTATCGTTGCAGAGCCCGTCGAGCCGCTGATAATACCTCCACTAACAAACGACACATTTCCAGACATACCTGTAGCCGTTGCAGCACTAGCAATATCCACATTGCCACTAGAGCTGCTTTTAGCGTCAGTACCACCAGAGGTAAAGTTCAAGTCGCCGCCAACACCACTTCGGCTACTTCCCCCCGCAACGAATATGTTTCCACCGTCCTTGGAGCTTCGGCCAGTTTGAAGCCCGATGTCACCACTACTTCCATCCGTTGATGATCCTGTACTGAGCATTACCCCGCCGCTGTTTAGAGTCGAGGTGCCCGTCGTAGATTTAATCGCACCAGAAGCTCGAGCTGACTGCGTCTGCTGCTCCACTCCACCTGAGACTTGGCTCATACTCCATCCACCGCTAATGACCACACCACCTCCATCGGCATTGGAGCTGCCGCCCGCGGAAACATTCACATTTCCCCCAACTTGGGAGCCGCTCCATCCAGCCGCAATGGTCAAATTGCTGCCAGTGATACCACCCCTACCCCCAGACACGCTCACATTCCCAGCTGTTGCACTCGAGTCGCCAGTCGCTACCGTCACCGGACCCGATGCTGCTGCGGCCGTCATGCCGGACGCAAGCGTCACCGGACCAGAACTCACGCTGCCGGCGCTAGCGCCAGACACAATGCCGACGCTCCCGCTGGATAGACCATCGCTCGCCCCGGACTGCAGATACATGGATCCGCCACGACCAACGCTTGACCGCCCGCCTGAAACAATGACGTCGCCAACCACGTCGCGCGCGGCACCGGACGATAAGGACACGATGCCGCTCGATCCCTGGCTGCCTCCGCCAGACGCAACATCGACACGACCGCTGTAGCCACCTGCGCTGGAGTTGCGAGAAGAGATCGCAACTGTGCCAGACGTTGCGCCTCCTCCAGACAGAATGTCGACACGCCCTCCTACACTTGAGCTGCTGTTCCCGGAGAATAGCTGCACAGACCCGCCAGTCACGCCAGTACCAGCGCCCGCAGACAGCCGTACACCACCTGTCGAGACACTGCTGTCTCCCGAAACGATGTTCACACCACCAGAGACCGATGAAGCTGATGACCCTGTACCAATAGTGATCGCGCCGCTTGGACCCGTACTGGTGGAGGCCGACCGGAGAGAAACTGCAGCAGATACGTCGCTCGCAGCACCTCCGGAGACGCCAGAGGAAATGTCGACCGCACCAAGTGATCCGCGCCCAGAGGCGATGCTCACCGGACCAGCGCTGCGCATAGCATCCGAAACACTCGTCGACACTGTGATCGCACCACCGGTGCCGCCGGATCCCGATGCCCCAGCAAGCACATTGACCGAACCGCCCTTCGACGAACCAGTGCCACCACTCACACCGATGTCCCCTCCAGTGCTGGAAGATCCACCTGTCATGGCGACAGCACCGCCGACACCGCTAGCGGAGTTCGATGCGCCGCCTGCCACACGCACGGACCCGACTGAGGCGGAAGACGCGGAAGCACCACTGCTGATGAGCACATCGCCCGACAGACCGCTCGAGGAGCTACCCGATTCGATCTGGACGGCTCCACTGCTCGCAGATGATGACACCGCAGCAGAGCGCAAGCCCACTTTGCCTGAGTCGCCCACAACGGACGTGCCCGACACGATGCTCACGCTCCCACCAGCGGCCTTCGAGCTGTCGCCCGCGCCAACAAGCACACTGCCGCCACTTCCAGTCGATGAAAAACCTCCCGAAATGGACGTCAGTCCTACACTCGTATCCGCATCGCCAGTTGTCAGCGTCACGTTCCCGCTTCCGCGCGCCTTGGAGCCCGAGCTAGACGCGGAAGAGATCGAAACTTCGCCAGTGGCACCGCCAGCCGAAGCGCCCGACTGGACGCTCACTGACCCACCGGCGCCACTGGAACCGGACGCACCGGCCGACAACGTCACTCGTCCACCACTTCCAGCTGAGCTGGAACCAGCGCCGATCGCCACGCTGCCACTGTTGCCACTCACCGAGTCACCAGAGCGCAACTCGACTAGACCACTAGACCCAGCGCCAACGCCGCGGCCCGAAGCTAAACTCACGTTTCCAGCTGTTGCACTCGAGTCGCCAGTCGCTACCGTCACCGGACCCGATGCTGCTGCGGCCGTCATGCCGGACGCAAGCGTCACCGGACCAGAACTCACGCTGCCGGCGCTAGCGCCAGACACAATGCCGACGCTCCCGCTGGATAGACCATCGCTCGCCCCGGACTGCAGATACATGGATCCGCCACGACCAACGCTTGACCGCCCGCCTGAAACAATGACGTCGCCAACCACGTCGCGCGCGGCACCGGACGATAAGGACACGATGCCGCTCGATCCCTGGCTGCCTCCGCCAGACGCAACATCGACACGACCGCTGTAGCCACCTGCGCTGGAGTTGCGAGAAGAGATCGCAATTGTGCCAGACGTTGCGCCTCCTCCAGACAGAATGTCGACACGCCCTCCTACACTTGAGCTGCTGTTCCCGGAGAATAGCTGCACAGACCCGCCAGTCACGCCAGTACCAGCGCCCGCAGACAGCCGTACACCACCCGTCGAGACACTGCTGTCTCCCGAAACGATGTTCACACCACCAGAGACCGATGAAGCTGATGACCCTGTACCAATAGTGATCGCGCCGCTTGGACCCGTACTGGTGGAGGCCGACCGGAGAGAAACTGCAGCAGATACGTCGCTCGCAGCACCTCCGGAGACGCCAGAGGAAATGTCGACCGCACCAAGTGATCCGCGCCCAGAGGCGATGCTCACCGGACCAGCGCTGCGCATAGCATCCGAAACACTCGTCGACACTGTGATCGCACCACCGGTGCCGCCGGATCCCGATGCCCCAGCAAGCACATTGACCGAACCGCCCTTCGACGAACCAGTGCCACCACTCACACCGATGTCCCCTCCAGTGCTGGAAGATCCACCTGTCATGGCGACAGCACCGCCGACACCGCTAGCGGAGTTCGATGCGCCGCCTGCCACACGCACGGACCCGACTGAGGCGGAAGACGCGGAAGCACCACTGCTGATGAGCACATCGCCCGACAGACCGCTCGAGGAGCTACCCGATTCGATCTGGACGGCTCCACTGCTCGCAGATGATGACACCGCAGCAGAGCGCAAGCCCACTTTGCCTGAGTCGCCCACAACGGACGTGCCCGACACGATGCTCACGCTCCCACCAGCGGCCTTCGAGCTGTCGCCCGCGCCAACAAGCACACTGCCGCCACTTCCAGTCGATGAAAAACCTCCCGAAATGGACGTCAGTCCTACACTCGTATCCGCATCACCAGTTCTCAGCGTCACGTTCCCGCTTCCGCGCGCCTTGGAGCCCGAGCTAGACGCGGAAGAGATCGAAACTTCGCCAGTGGCACCGCCAGCCGAAGCGCCCGACTGGACGCTCACTGACCCACCGGCGCCACTGGAACCGGACGCACCGGCCGACAACGTCACTCGTCCACCACTTCCAGCTGAGCTGGAACCAGCGCCGATCGCCACGCTGCCACTGTTGCCACTCACCGAGTCACCAGAGCGCAACTCGACTAGACCACTAGACCCAGCGCCAACGCCGCGGCCCGAAGCTAAACTCACGTTTCCAGCTGTTGCACTCGAGTCGCCAGTCGCTACCGTCACCGGACCCGATGCTGCTGCGGCCGTCATGCCGGACGCAAGCGTCACCGGACCAGAACTCACGCTGCCGGCGCTAGCGCCAGACACA